ATGTGTCATCAAGGAAGGATCCCCCAGCCTTGGGGGGTGGGGGGCCCCCTTGTGGGTCTGGGGGCTGGGCGGGTGCCTTCAGTAGGGCTGCGTGGAGATCCTTGGCAATGACCGCTCCGAACAAGTCGGGTGAGTCTGGGGAACCCTGCCGAATGCCGTTCGACTGGGGCACTGGCGTGATCACATCCCCCACCGCCACATTAAGGGACCTCGTTTCGAGCAGGCTGAGCCAAAGGAGTGCCTCCCATGGTTGGTCCCCCCCTTGTGCCTGTGTGTTCGCTGGGAAGCGGGGGGAGGGGATCCCCCCACCCTCGCCGCCACCAGTTCACTGAGACTGTGTTGCCAGACGCTGTCGAAGGCCTTCCTGATATCCAGTTTCACAATCCACGTCTTCACCCCCCAGTCTCGCGACATTTGCACGACGCGGCGCAGTATTGCCACCAACTCCACTCCCTGCCTTCCTCTGCGCGCCCATTGCAGGCCTTCCCCCCCGTGGCGCACCTTCTCCCCCGCTCGATGTAGCAAAAGTTGTGAGGGTGATGGGTCTGGTGTCCCCCCATGCAAGTGGGCGGGGGATCTTGGGGAGCAGCACGGTGATTCCTTGCTCAATCCCTTGCGGGACCGCCCCCCGGTACAGCATGTCGCTGAGCATTTCCCGGATTCTCTCCCCCCACTCTGGGTCCAACAGGAGGAGTTGCGCCGCCTCATGGGAGATCCCGTCGGGCCCGGTGCTGCGATTGTGTGCCCACTTGCTGGATGTGAGGTGCAACTCCCCTAAGGGAAAAGGGGGTCCAGGGCGTGTGTTTGCACCTGGCTCGAAGTGCGTGGCGCAGTTCCCCCCGTCTGGCTTGGGCCGCTCTGGGGACAGGTTTGGCAAAGATCCCCCGCATGTGTTGCCGCAGGTTGTCTCGCCAGTTGGGGTCGTCGGTTAGTTGGAGCTGCCACCCCCGATGTGTGCTGGGCTGCTGCAGGCTTCGTAGCGCGCGCCAGTCGAGTTGTGCCGCTCGCTCCGCCTGTGAGTGCTTCCATTGGCGGAACTCCTGCTTGCGTAGGCGGCTGACGGCTTTCCACGCTCGGCGCGCCTGGTCCCCCGGGGCCGCCTGTTGTGCCAGCTTGCGGTGGCGGGTGAGCGTGCCGCTTTCGCGGAACGCGTCAGCCCTCCCCCCCGGCAGTGTGATAGCTTTTGCTAGGGTGCACAAGGTCAGGTGTGGGTCCTCGCCTTTGGGCGGGGGGACTCGGAGCAACCTGTCTGTCTGGTGGGGTGGTCGGAGCTTGCGGGGGCCCCAGGTGCTTCGGCTCGCTCCACCCCCTTTGTGGAACCGCAAAGGCACCGCCACTCCGTCGTGGTCCGAGGCTGCTCTGTCTTTGCATGCGACTACCCTGCCGGGGCCTGGGGTCCCCCCTTTGGTGGCCACGTAGTCAAGGCGTCGTGGCCGCATGGAGGTGTTGTACGGGTGGTAAGTGGGTGTGGGAAGGTCCTGGGGCGGCAGCTTCATGTCCCTGGACAGCAGCCACTCAAGTATCACCTCCCCCCGCCCGGTGCACGCGTAGCAGCCAGGTCTGTTAGCGAGGGGCGGCCGGAAGGTTTCGTTAGCGTCCATGCCAAGCACCACCACCCTTCCTTGCAGTGTGTCCCCCCATCGGTGTAGAATAGCTTCGGTTTGTGGGATTGTGGCGTGGTGTGGTATGTGGCCCGAAAGCACGCGTATGTGGGTGTGCTGAGTGACGATGGTGGTTGCAACACCGGCCTGCATGACTTCTGTGCGCTGGTGTTTGAATGCTGTGCGATGCGCCACCCCCTCCCCCCGGAACTCTCCCTCACACTTGCCAAACACAAGCTGCCACTGCTGCGATTCTGCATGGAAACTCCCCGCTTCAGTGATGATTTCCTGGAGCATGACAAATTGAATGTGCTGCAGTACGGAGCTCCCCCGGAAATGCTCGAGGACTTCCAGCACTCTGTTAGCCGAGAGGCCCCCGACATTCCAAGTGAGCGTCTCAAAGGTGTACAGAAGGTTTTCCCCCCTCAGGGGGGCAACGTGAGACTGGTCAGCCATGCTCGCCTCTTCTCAGTTGATCTCCGCCTTGAGCGGGGACCACTCCTTGGCAACGGCGTCCTTAGTGCAGCGAAGTACCTGAGCTATCGCCCCCAGGTCGACCCATCCGGGTCCTGCTTCTTCTCCCCCCTGCGGCCTGCTTGCGGTAGCCGAGCATACCTTCACTGACTGCCCCCCCCTTGTGAGCCACGCGGAGCCGCTGCTGTACTCCATCTCGAGGTTGTTCTTGTCCCCCCCCATCGTGAGGTACAAGCGCTTGACTTTCGCCGCGAGGCGGGCTCGGCGCCGCTTCTCGGGCGGCTGCGAAATGGCAATCCACGCCTTTCTGATCCCCCCATCCTGCCTAGCTCCAAGTTGAACGTTCGCGGCCCTGACACGGGAGATGACATCTTGCACTCGGGCTCGGCGGGCCTCAGGACTCTCCCCCGGCAGCTCGTTAATCGGAAGGATTGCGTATCCCCGGCGGATGCCGGGCACGAACATCCCCCCCAGGTCGATGGGAGCCTCAACTGAGCGGAGGATGTCTTCTGCAGCCTGCTTGGTGTCGCGGGCGTCCTGGTCGGGGTTCCAGCCCCCAATGACGAGGGCGGGCTGCCGTCCCCCCTCGGAAAGAGGTCCCGCTGTGCTACCTGCTGTCGTGCTTCCCCCACCATTCTTCTCCAAGCTTTCGAGACGTAGCTGGAACTCCCGGTTCGCCTCCTGGAGCTGTTTGAGTATCTCCCCGTGGGCGTTGTATTTCTCTCTCTCTCTCTCTCTCTATATGTGCCGTTGCTTCCAGAGGTCGGGTTTAGCGCACAGGAGTTGTACGGGCTTCGGGGTGTGCAGAGGGTGTAGGGTGTAGAAGGAAATGCAGCTGCCGCCCATCGCCAGCAATTTTGGATGGCTTCGTTGCAGTACTGCTAGTACTATGCTAGCTTAAGAGGTTCGATAGTCTTTGTGGAGGGGTAGATTTCTAAGTATTCTGCTGGAGCTTGGGGACAGAAGAGGCCAGACCAGAAATAAGCTCTGATTCCAGCCATCCAGCTTCTGGGTGGCTGGAACATTCGGATTCATTGGAAGGTCAGCACTCAAAGTCAACAACACTCGGGAATCAAGTTGGCATCTATTCCCGGACTCGTACCAGGTCGTACCAGCCACGAAATAGGAGAAGACACGACATAGTTCAAAATTCAGACAGTAAGAAATTCAAACATACACCCCTAAGAGCAGGATCCTGTTCATAAGCTCTGAAATGCCCGAAGTAGTCTGAGATCATCCTTGCCGAGTCGCCCTGCTCTGCAACCTCGGCAGCGCCGTCGAACTTCATCGGCTTGCCGGAGGAGCCCTGGTTGGGCACCTTTACATATAATATAATATAGTATAGTATAATATAATATGATACAGTATAGTGTAATATAATATGATATAGTATGATATAAAATAATATAATATAACATACTATCAATATAATATTGGACATCCAAAACCCTAAACCCTCTGCCTGCAGAGTTTGAACCCTGAACCCCTTTTTTGAACCCCTAGACTCCTAAACCGCGGAAATCCCTGAACCCCTCAAGGCCGCACGTGAAAAACCAGGCTTTGAATCTGCAGCTTGGTGCTTAGCGCATGAGCTTTGTAAGGTGCAGTGGTACACACTTTGTGGCATGACAGTACCCAGTCCTAACTCCGGCAACAAGAATCTAAGAAGTTCAATTTGAGCACCTAGCCCATGTCCCAACTGCCTATACCATCGACTCTCCAATTCTGGCTTGATTGGTGAAGAGCAGTCTCAGCCGTCAGCATGCCCAAATGTGATGTCGGGGGACTATTTGTATCCAAGCTAGATATCTCAAGTGATCTCAACTCACCAAGGCCCCAGCCGAAGTGAAGTTGGAAAGCACATCTACGGCTTGGACACCCGTCATGGGCCTCAGCTCAGAATGTCTTGAAGCTTGGATACAGCAAAAAACGCTCTCGAACATGGCAATCCGGTGGGCCAAAAAATTGCTTGAAAGCAGTGTCCTGGAGTAGACCAAATGCTACCAACTATCTGTAGCCATCGGTGCTAAATCTTTCAGGTCATTTCACAGCTTGTGCAGATTTAAGCGGCTCCACTCATGTTTTTTGCTGATGCGCCACTGAAGCTGGCAAGTCCAGCAAATTAAGCCACTAAGTACATCCAAGCAGTAAGCTAAACGAAATCATCCAAGCATCTTCTTGCAGCACTTCTGTCCTTGTGTCTCAGAAAACTGCAGCTGCTAGCATGCGGCAGACCTCACGCGCCTTCTTAACGTCGTGACATCATACCGTGCTCTCTCAAAGCATCGAAGCTTGATAGACCAGCAACTGGCCCCAACAATCCAATGGCTTTTCTAGCGTCTTGTGCAAGAGCCGCCGCAGCTAGGAGGATTCGTCACAGGAACCTCATCTGCTGCGCATTGGATACCTGGGTCAAGTGAGGGGCATGGTGTGCCTTCTTGCGTTTGCGACTAAGTCCACACCCACGGGCTCAAATTCCCTACAGTGCTGATTCTGTGTCTGACTGAGTGAGTAAGCAATGCATTCCAAACTAGCCGGATGACTCGGGTGAGTGCATTCAACCCTTGCTCCCCTGCATTAACGATCCCGGGAACCTAGCCTCGAGAAAAGACGGCGTGCAGCGAAAACAATGACAAAAGTAGTGAACTAGTTTTGCCGAGGCATGCTGTGCAATCCACTTGCTACAGCATTTGCAGCATCAACTCACCTCTCCGGAAGGTCAGTAATTTCGGCCGATATCTCAGAAGCAACATACCCTTATGCAGTTTCGTACGGGCATCTATCACTAGTGTAATCAGCTTTCAGGACCTGGCCCACATGCTAGGCCGTGGCATCTTGTCCCCTGGAAGGCGCTGCAACTTTCTAGCACCCAATGCTTCACAGCTCGCATCTCTTGCTGTTAGAATCCTCGGCCCTTACCCGGTTTCATCCCAAGGCTCCGCCACAGCTCTCACAGACCGCAGTGAAAGGGCAGAGCAGCCGCTCGGAAGCTGGCTGGGAGCTCTGCTGACAGGTGCCATCGGCCCTTAGGTAGGGACAGGAGTGCACTTTTGATGCAAAGCCCCCGGCCACCCTCATCGCATGGTGCTGAAGATAGACCCCGCATGGCATAGCTCTGACAATAAGCTGGCGAATGGATGCTGAGCCAAATCCACTAGGGCAGCCAGGAGGCACCACCCTGCCTGTAGCAGGCACCTGCATTGGGCCGAGGCTGTGAGGGGAGCGGAGGATGGCTGCTGATATTAATCTGTTTAGTGATCCGAGGCCTGGCAGGTCACAGATCGGGTCTCGGTGACCTCGTCCAAGCCGCAGCTGGGGTCACACTCCTGCACATCGGCGCAAAGTCGGCTCGAAGCTTTCCGAATCTGAAAGCCTCGACGATCTGCTGCGCAACGATCGAAAGCAAACTTCGATAACCCCAAATCTATATCCCAGCATCCCAATCCTATATCGTAGCATCCCACAACCGAACGCTTAAACTCGATGACACAAAACTTCTGAACTATGTCATGTGTTGAAGTGTATCTGAATAACATTTCCCGCGTACTTCCCGGATCTTGAACAGCTGTGCCCTCCTTTAACTTGTAACTGTACCTATGTGTGTCTATGTTTATGTGAGAAAGTGACAGTCTGAGATAGACAGAGAGAGACCGAAACGAAGGAGACAGATAAAGAGAGAAAGAAAAGCCAAGAGCGAGCGAGCGCGAGCGTGAGCGGGTGCGGAAGCCCCGCAACACCAAACCTCCGTGCATGATCCAGCTCCTTCGTCTCGTCCCAGCTGATGGCGATCCAAGACGCTGTGTCGCAGCACTCGTCGACCTTGACCCAGATGGTGCATGCAGGTCAAGTGGCCGCATCATATTGGGCGGCGCTGAAGGGGGAGCAGGGGGTTCTGACTCCTCAAACAATGAGCGGTTGCGTCGGTTCTGTCTCCAAGAGACGGAGCAGCCAGAACAAGGGGGCAACATAGAAGCAAATCTGCATACTAATGTAAGATCATGAGGAAACCCCATGGAATAGGTCTCGCCTCGCACCGGGCGTCCTTGCACAGCTGGGCTTTGCCGACGGTCTTGGCCACATAGCCTCCCATATGTACAATCCACCTGCCTGCCTACCTACTTACCTACATAATTCCCATTCTAGCATCGCCTGCGGGGCAAGTCAGGTCATCGCAAGATGCACGATGGACCGACACCGTCGTGGTGGTGCTGGTGGTGGTGAAGGTGGTGGTGCTCGTGGCCGCAGAGTTGCTTTGCAATGTGGCATTTGATTGCGTCCACCAGGGCTTCTTTGCGGCACCCATGCAGGTTGTCGGGTAGTGGGCGAGCTTGTCAGGCTGCCCTGTGACCGGGGCCACCACGTCTCCTTAGATATCGAGAGCTAAGTCAAAGTCCTTCGCGCATGAAGGCTATTATATTATACTATATTATACTATATTATACTATATTATACTATATTATACTATATTATACTATATTATACTATATTATACTATATATTACATCATATTGTATTATATGATGTTATTTCTTATTTCCTTATAGTACCATACAATAGACTATACTATAGTGCAGTTTGATATATGATAATACTGTATAATATAACATAATACATAATATAATAGAATATAGTAGAATATAACATAATATAATATATTATAATATAATATAGCATAATAGAACATAATATAATATAATATAATATAATATAATATAATATAATATAATATAATATATTATAATATAATATAATATATAATATAATATAATATATAATATAATAT